AGACAGCCCAGCACCCTGTCCAGCTGAACCTTAAAAGTGTCCAGTGTTGGGGAATCCACCATTTCCCTGGGGAGATTATTCCAATTGTGAGCAGATTGTTCTCATTGTGAAAAATTTTCCTCTTGTGTCCAATCAGAATCTCTCCAGGAATAACTTGTACCTGTTACCCCTGTCTTTTCCATGTGATTTCTTATAAAAAAGGGAGTCTCCATCTTCTTTGTAGCCACCTTTTAAATACTGGAACATGGTGGTAAGGTGTCCCCTTGACCTTCTTTTCTCAAGGCTGAACAAACCCAGTTCTCTCAGCCTTTCCAGAGCTGCTAAAAGGGACAAGGCAAATACTGAGATACAAATTCACTAGTAAGTGGATTTTTTCTTGAGAGATACCTAACTACTTCAGTTTTCTTTGGCTTCATGGGAGTTAAGACTGCAATCACTTCAAAAAATTGGGACCTCTCAGAAAGAGCATGTTGCAATAGGGATCATAAAGCCTTGCAGATAACAACCAGCCAAGGGCTCAATACCTACAGCAAAAAACTAATATATTCATACCAGAAGGTTCCCATATACTTAATGATGTTACTAGAAAATGGTTGATCTGTTTGAACTGTTCTTGTTTCATTCCTCCACGGGAGAATATTATTCCCTTTGCCTCTCTCCACTTTTTCATTCTGCCACGGGGAGTGTGCAGGGAGAAGGCCATTGAAAAAGCCATATAAAACCTCGAGAATGCAATAAGCAGAACATGGCACTTTTAACACGACAAAACTGCCAGCTTAGGTAAGGCTTGAAGTGCACATAAACTCCAGCACCTCCTCAGGCAAAGAGAGTCACAGTCTCAACAGAGAAGTGGCGAAAGGAGTTTAGATCATAAATGTTCTTCAGATCTACAAGCTTTGCGACCTGAATGCACAATGAGCAACTCAAGGGCCCAGACATCTTCAAATAAACCAGGCTGAGCCAGGAGTGCATCTGCCCTGTGGTAGCAACAGCTCAATATTCTGGCTCAGTTTGCTCACCCAGCACAGTGGTCAGACAGGATGAGGTGGGTGATTTATCACCTCAGGTGGCTCCAGCAGTGCACACTTTTTCTTGCTGTTGTCTTAAGATCACCAGGTTCTTGCCTAAACTCTGAAGTTTTGATTACATTGGCACTAGCTCTGGTATTGCTGCATGGTGCTGTACTGCAGCATGGAAATCTCCTCCTGGTGGTTTATCTGCTTCCCAGTTTCATGGAGCAAAATATTCTTCCTGGCAGTGCCAGTGTCTGGTGGTGCTGAGCAAAACAACAGCTGTGTCCTAGGCATGGACAAACAGTCCATTTTTAATACTTACAGGGTCCATCAGGTGCACTTTCAGCTGAAGTGGTAGCAGCTCCTTTAAAATGAGCCTCCTCTGCTAATGTTGGTAACATGCTTTCAGAGGAAAAACAGTCTTTAAGCTATGGGACACACTGGATAAAGAATCATCATCCAGGTGGGGACCTGGGAAGATCTTTGAATGAGTCAACTGCACAATTCAAGACACTGCAGTGATAGCACTGCACCCTTTCAAGGGCTAAATCCACATATCCTCTTAGTGCTTGACCCAGGTAGGAAAAAAAAGGGTCTCAAATGAGATAAAAGGAGCCAACATCAGGCACCTCAGCCTTTCTCATTCCACAGACTTTGTGCCAGCATTTAACAGCAAGGCTGTGTCCTCTTCTGTACTTTAATTGGGATTAAACACACTATCAGTGTGTTTTCCATAACTTCTTTATTCACCAGAGCTGCCCAGATGTCACTCCCATCTGCAATCAGGTCTTCTTCATGTACAAGCAGTCCACTACCTTCTCCAAATGCCATACAGCTTTCCTGCTTTAATCTGGAAATGTTTTAGGGCCGGGGCCTCGGGAGTTCTTTCCCTACCTGTTCCCCCAAGAGCTCCCTGTCTTTCTCTTCATAATTCAGTTGCTTTGTAGCCAATGAGTGAAATGGTTGCACTCACTACCTCTTTCTTTCTATCCTCCAGTTCTTTATTCTCTTCCATCTTTTAGTTTCCTTTTCTCTCTCTTTATGGGAGATGAAGGAAGGAGAAACAGAAGGAGTTGTACAAGCATTTTTAATCTCAGCAGAAAGAACAAGAGTTATAGGAAGAAACAGAGATGGGGAAGAGGAAAACGGAGTAGAAACAGGAAAAAAACCTGTAAATAAAATGGAAAACTGAGAACGTAAAAGAAAGAATGAAAAAATTAAGTAATTGATATTGTTTTGTTTTATTTTGTATCAGTATAAGTGGTTTTGATTTCAGTCTAAGCCCAAAGAAGGGAGATTAAATGGGGAGAGGGAAGGCACTGAGTCCAAGCCTGTCTCTCACACCTCCTGCTTATGCTCATAACAAAACCTCTGCAGAAACATCAATAGGGATGATCACGTGTGGCTGTGGGCTCTGCCCCGTCCCTCGGCACAGAACCAGCCAGTGGCTGCTGCAGACCTGCAGGAGTAAACAGAATTCTGCTTTGTCCTGCTTTTAGAGCAGCTTCTGAATGATTAGAAGAGGAACAACAGTGCTGTGGGAGCTGGAGGGAGGGGTGGACCTTTTCCTTTTGACAATTAGACGGGAGCTGTTGAAAGCTGCTTTCATGGATGAATGCATGGAGAACTAAGGACGTCTGGCAACTGATTTATTTGATTAGTTTATTGTATGCCATAATTTCACTCTCCCAGATGAAGCAGGCCTGTTGCTGGAGTTGGACTTCGTGGTTTTTGAAATCTCTGCCAAAACCCCTCACAACCTCAGATGTCTGAAGAGGATGTCAAGTAGGGCACAAACAAAGCTGGTGGGGCAGGAGAATCTGAGCTAATCAGAAAACACCAATCTGGGCACTCCACAGTTCCATAGGGCCTGATTTCCAAGCAGTTTAGCATTTGTGGATTCCAGCAGGAGTCCTGATTGCTCAGCTGTTGGGAAAATCAGGCCTACAGAGTACAGGGGGCTCTGGGCTCGTTGGTTTGTCTCCATCCCACCGGCTGACTGAGTTCTGGCAGGACAAGGATGACATCCAGTGGGAAACTCCTGAACTACAGCAGCATTTTATACATGGAATGAGACACAGCAGCACCTGAGTCTCCAACTAGAATCGAAGGGTAAGATCCTGGATGGGGAAATAACTATTCAAGAAAGGTTCTATAGTGAATGGCTCATGGCTACGAGTCCTGTGTTGTTATTCTCCTCTGCTGTTCTTCCCCTGAAATCTGCAATACCTAGAGGTGTTTTGAAGTGTCTCTTCTTCCCAGGGAGAAAAAGTCTTGTTCTTTGGGGAAGTGTTGACAACAGCATCCCAGTGGAATTAATACTCATGCAGGATTCTCACTTTCATGAAAGGTTTTCTTTAATTGTTTTTGCTTTAAATCTGTGACTCCCTGATCTTTTGGGATGTCTCAATGCCTACAAGAAGGCTGAAGAGGGACTTTGTACGAGGACATGCAGTGATAGGACAAGGGAGAATGGCTTTAAGCTGAAGAGAAGTAGATTTAGATTTGGATATTAGGAAGAAATTCTTCCCTGTGAGGGTGGTGAGGCCCTGGCACAGGTTGCCCAGAGAAGTTGTGGCTGCCCCATCCCTGGAAGTTTTCTAGGCCAGGCTGGACAGGGCTTGGAGCATCCTGGGATAGTGAAAGGTGTCCCTGGCCATGGCAAGGGGTGGAACAAGATGAACTTTACAGTCCCTTCCAGCCCAAACCATTTTGTGATTCTTAACATCCTTAACTTTCAGTGAAATCCCAGTCATTTTAGTAGTTTCCCTCAGCAATCTGCATTTGTGTCACTTGTCCCAGTGTGTGGTACAGACCTGGGGAGGATAAGTTATCTGCAACAAACTGGAATAAATATTTACAGTGTAAATAATTGGATGTACAGATGGAAGTAATGCAGAAAGGACAAATAATCTTGTACAACTGAGGACATGTGCCTGTCTGCTTTGATTTCATTCAGCAGCCAGAAGGCCTGGGATCCCAGCCACTGCTCCGAGATCACACACCAGCTGCTTCCCAAAATGTTTTTTCCCTCTAGTCCCTAATCAGGAGACTGGGAGGGAGGGATTTCATTTCAGATGTGCACTTTGATACTTTAATTCCTGCCTCGCCATCAGCCCAGCACTGGATTGCTTCAGTATGTTTGCAGAGAATTACACCTGATGTCAGCCAAGGAGCAAAGTGTCCTGGGCTCAGCCTGGATGTGGGATGTGGATGTCAGATGTCACCCGAACAGGCTGAACCCACTTGGGAGCAGCTCCCAGGGGCAGCTGGGCTTGTGGGGAGAAATCCCTGCATGGTTTAACACTGGCTGAGCAAGGCAATGCCCTGACTGCATGTGCTGATGACGTCACCGATGACATATTTACATCACTGCATGACCTAGTACAACTTGGCCACTGGGTTGCTCAGGCAAAAACGAATCCCTTGTTTTCTACCTCCCCAGCACGTTACTAACAATGTCCCTGGGACGCTGAAGGGTCCGTTCGGGGCCTCGGCTCCCCCCTCCCACCATCCCAGGACGAGCCTTGACGTCACGGCAACAACACAGGACGAGCTGTGACGTCACGGAAACAGAACGGGACGCGTCGTGACGTCATGCCCAACGCTCCCTCAGGCCCCGCCTCCATCAGTAACGCCCCGCCCCTTCGCCGCTGATTGGTTCTCCCCCTCCGCGCTCCGCCCCGCCTCGCCCCGAGCCGTGTCTCCGGTTTAGCCCCGCCCCGCGCGCCGACTCATCCAATCGGAGGCTGCACGCCGTTGACCGACAGCGCCGCTGCCCAATGATATGCGGCGCTGGGCCGGCTGGCCCCTCCCCTGGCGGGCGGCGGCGCTCGCTGTAAGGGGCCGGGGCCGCGCGCCCCCCCGCCCCGCGGCACCGCCGTGACCCCGCCCGGGCGCCCCCGCCGCCCCCGGCCCCGCCGAGCCCCCGCGGGCCGGCCGTGCCCCCTCCCCGGGCAGCGCCCGCCGCCCCCCAGCCCTCCCCCCGGCCGGAATGGGCGGTCCCGGCCCGTAGCCCCCGGGGCTGCGGCTGCTCCTCCTCCTCCACCCGCTGGGTCGCAGCGTCTCGGCGGCCTCCGCCCGATGCTGTCGGAGCTCGGGGTGTCGGCGGCGGCGTTGTGAGCGCTGCGGGCCCGCCGCCGCCGCCGCCATGTCCGGCGTGGTGCGCACCCTGAGCCGCTGCCTGCTGCCGGCCGAGGCCGCGGGCCGCGCCGGGGACGGGCCGCGCCGGGACGCCAAGGAGCGGAGCCGCGACGCGGAGCGGGAGGCGCGGCGGCGCAGCCGGGAGATCGACGCGATGCTGGCCCGGGAGCGCCGCGCCGTCCGCCGCCTCGTCAAGATCCTGCTGCTGGGCGCCGGCGAGAGCGGCAAGTCCACCTTCCTCAAGCAGATGCGGATCATCCACGGCCGCGAGTTCGACCAGAAGGCGCTGCTGGAGTTCCGGGCCACCATCTACGAGAACATCCTCAAGGTGAGGGAGGGCGGGATGGAAGCGGGGGGATGGAGGCCGGCGCCGGCACATCCCGCAGCGCCGGGAGCTGGGGCCGTGCCCGGGGTCGCCGTCGGGAAGGGATGTGAGCCCGGGCGGGGCCCCCCCGAACGCCCCGGCCCCGCTCCCGGCGCTCCCCCCCGGGGAAGGGGCTCGGCGCAGGTGTTCGGGTACCTTTGTGCTCCGGGATGGGGGTTCCAGCGCTACCCGGCGACGAAAAAGGCTCAGAGGAAACTTCCCCCGCAAAGGGGGATTGAGGAAAGCTTTGTGGAAGCGCAGAGGAAAGAGGATATAGGTGTGGCCTGCCTTCTGGAAAAGGCATTGCGAGAGCATCCTCGGAGTCAGAACGGGAGAAACTTCAAGGTTTGAAGAAATGAGGAGATTTCCCTGCCTGTCCGAAGTGCCTCCGAGCCTGTCTGCTCGAGATGGGACGAGAAATGCGTCCTTGTATAGATGTTGTGGCTGCAAGTGGTTGTTAGTTGGTACATCCTCAAAAATGGGGGAGTGCAGGCCCCTGGAGTGGGGCATGGGGGGTGTTATCAAAGCCAGCGCTGGAATGGAAATAACTTTGGTTTGGTACCTTTGGCAAAAAGTTTCTGCTCAGTGTGTGTGCAGGCTTTATAGTGCCGGCAGTATATTTCTGTAGTGACTGGAGAATATAAAGGCTACTGGTAGAGCCTTTGCTTTACACACCAGTATTTCCTTAATTAAGGAAAATCAACCTTGACAAATACTGTTTCTTTCAGGGGTGCAAGCTCTGATGCCCTGTGCAGGTAGAAGGGATCCTATTTCAGAAAATACCTGAAGATGCATAAAAAGCTGACTTAAGAGTATATCTCTTCTCATCTTCATAATCTTTCCCTAAAAGAAATGCTACTTTCCTGCCTAGATTTTTCTGTAGGACTGCCTCCATTCTTATGTGGGCATGGATTTGTGAGACTCCATGAGATTTCAGAGAAAGGTAACGGAAAGGGAACTGTGCAACTTAAAGATAACGAGTTACTTTTGAATTTTCAGACTTGTGTTTAAATAGAAGCTTTATGTGCACTTAATAAGTGCAAGCATACAATGACTCTTGTTTTTAAGAATGCCACTATTCCATGAAGGGCTTTCACTTCTGTTAGTGAACAGGAAAATTGTTGTCTAATTTTCTTTTCCTTTTTTTTCATCCATTTTCAGGCTGGAGCCCATTAACTGCAAGAAAGTTGAAGCTCAGAAGCTTCTCTCTGATTGTAGTTACTTAGGCAAAGAGCATTATGATTTCTTTTAGCTATACACCTAGAAATAAGGACTCTTATTTTAGGTCTTAATGCTTATTTTGGTCTTGCCAGTGATTTATTTTTTTACTGCTACTGATTTCAAGTGGTAGCAGAGGCTTTTAAGGAAGCAGTTTGTGAAAACGGAAAAATCTGAGACTCCTTCCTCTTCTGAGTTGTCTAAGCAATACCAGTTATGGTAAAATGATGTAATATTTTATGTATGCAGAAAGTGTAGAGCTTTCAGCAGTAGAACTTGGTGTGCTTTGAAAAGGAAAGTAAGTGTCTCCAACTTGCAGTAGGGGAGGCTGAGTTATGCACTTGAAACACTTGTCTGCTGGATGGCTTTGGGCAGATCTGCAGAATTTAAAGTAGAATCCAGGTCCTCAAGGAAGCAGTCAGGAGTTCTGATAGTTAACAACACTGCTTGGACCGTGTCAGCTGAACATCTGTTTAAGTCTTCTAATTGTCAAAATAAATTTTGGATTATTTTTAAGTGAGTTCAGCAGATCCATCGCCCTTTGGGCCTTGCAGATCATGATTTGAGAGCGTTAAGGTTGGGCTCTCCTTTAGGTACATGTCAGACTCTTCCTTCTCTTCCTTCTGTAGGTGACAGAGGTGGCTCTTGCACATAAGAATACAACTGACACTTCCCCCGTAGGCTCAGGAGGGGTTGCTATGGAAAGAGTAGGCAGAAGGAGGGAGAGCAAACCAAGGGAACTAAGAGAGTTTTCTAGTAGGAAGGAGGTCTGGGATGAGTGTAGGGACAAGGCAGTAGATGTTATGTTTGTGTTTTGCTCATCAGAAAGAAATCTGATAACACCTTGATATTCTGCTGTAATCATCAGGAAGAAATCAAATACCGAGAGAGAATTGCAGGACTTTGAAAACAGAGTGGTGTTGTCAATGCTTTATTTTAGGGTAATTGTGGAATACTTTCTTGTATTAAACTTTGTTCGTGGATAAACATAGAGTGTTTAAAGTAAACTTACTTTACTCCTTTGACAATGCAGATTGTCAAGTGACCAGATTGCTGCTCTAAAGTGTTTAGACTACAGGTTCTTTTTGCTTTTTCAGGAAGTTCAGAATGATCACCCATTAAGACTTAACATACAAGAAAAGATATAAGATGAATTTGTATAGTACTATATGTTGACAGTGTGAAGTGAAAACGATCCTATGAAATAGCATATAAATCTTTGTGACACTGTGAAGTCCAGCTGCAGCAACCTTAGCCCCTTTTTCCACACAGTTCTCAGCATGGTCAAACAATGGTTCTGTTAAGCTTCTGCAGCACTGAGATCTGAGTTATAAATGCAGTGTAAATCTCTGGGATTAAATGGTCAATTTTCATTTTCCAGCCATGACTAAACTGCTCTCTGAAGGAGGAGCATTCCTACTCTCTTAGCAGTGCTGGGTATTTCTAAAATCCTCATTGCAGTAGTGTTTAGGCACTTTGTGCAACTTACTGAAAATGAGGGAACTGATTCAGGGAACAGAACGTGAAACCTCTTTGAAAATAACAGTGCTAAGTATGAACTGACATTAATGTCAGCCTCCACTTTGAGTTTTCAGCTTCTCACTTCTCTGATATCTTCTTAATGCTGAGTTCTTTGCTTACCCTGTTCTCTCTGCTTCTCATCCCCCATTTTGGGGAAACCCTAGTTAGAAACAAAATGCTGAAACAAAATAAATCTGTGATACAGAATTTACTTTTCCATTTAGTACAGGTGATGGTTCAGGGCCTTGCTGGCTTTTTCTGGCATTTGTGGGGTGGTATTCAAATACATTAGTTTTGCTTTGGTTTAAGGTAAATAGTCATCGGTTAACTCGGGTTTTGCTTGTTAATCGAGGCTAAGTTTCAAAGTAACTTTTTGGAACTTTTTGGTGATTGAAGTGAAAAGCAGCAGTGTTAATGTTCTGGTATGAGTACACAGGCTCCAGGACTTCAGCACACCCACCTGGAAAAGGAAAGTGGATAGGACAGGGCCAGCTGACGCTGGCAGCATGAATTTTAAGGTGATTCTTGGTTATACAGAGAAACTTGGAAAACTTTCATGTACCTTAAGTTTCAAATCTGAGAAAAGTCTGGTGGTGTTACATGAGCATTTTGATGCTTTCTGACTGTAGCTGAAGGAATCTTCTGATACCTTTCAAAACAGATGGGTTGGCCTTGCTACTCTACTTGCTTCCTTTGGTAAGAGTTAAAGAGCTCAGATACACGATGAATCACAGCTCTGATGTTCCTTGTCTAAATGTTTTTTGTTTCAAGTATGAGAATATCATGCTGCTTGAAAAAACCTGGTTTAGCTGTGTAAGAAAATAATTAAAGCAATCTACAAGCACCAGAGTGGTACTTGCACCAGCTTGTTTGAGAGATTTCAATCTGAAGAGAGAAAATGTTCGGCTTTTAAAAGCCTGAAGTATAATCTGTTGAACTCCTCCGGTAATGTTAGTTTTTGTGTTGAAAATGAGAAGGCCAGCTCAAGGTTTCAATACATCTGTGAGTGTTTTCTTGTTGTCTGTGGCCTGAGTTGTAATGATTGACTAAGGAATTGAAAAACCTGGAGTTGCAGAGGGAAGGACTACGCAGGAAATGATGTGGAACTTCAGCTGTGGGCTCTGAGCGTGGAAAAACAAGGAAAGATTTTAAACGTGAAAACTGTCTGAGGAACAATCCTTTGAGACTTCTGAGTGCAATACACATGGGCACAACTGAGAGCATTTCTCCTTGATGGCAGGAATGAGTGGCAGGAAAGCAGGCAAAATAAGTGGTCTGTGCTGAAGGCAGTTTTAAGAAGAACTTTGGACTTCTGTAGCCATTACAAAATGTGGACTGTTGTTGCAGGGACTCTGTGTGCCTTCAATGTACCTGTGTTGTGTTTATGGTGGCTGCCTGTGAGGTGGTTGTACCTCCAGTCATTGACAAACCAACCAAGAAAACTCGCTTGCAGCTTGCAGGTTTAAGTCAGATACAGACAAAAATTGTGGGGAGGGCAAAAAGAATATTCCTCAGTTTAGTTGGGAGCTACAGTTTAAGTAACCAAGTTACCTACTCATTCACAATGCAAGCATCTTTTCCAATAACCTACAAACAAAGGTGGGAATACATCTTTTCATTGCGTGAACTCATTACTCTTTAAATTGACTTGACTCCACACTTCCTTGGGTTTACATGCAGATGAATTCAAAAACCCATTACGAGGTGATGATGGTGACACTCCATCTGTTACTTCAGAGCTGGGATCCAGCTGTTTGAGTAGTTGGTCTCGGGACAGTGTCAGTCTCCTTTCTGCTGGGACAGCTTCTTTTGAGAGGAGTGACAAGGAGAACATAGGAGCTGTGGTTAATCAGGACCTTTTCCGTCACATTTAGTATACAAGTGCTAAAGTTCTGTGCTGGAACCACTTCTTAATTCCGATTATCTTTGCTCTGAGCTTAATTTAATATGAAAAAATAATATTCACCAAATTATGTAGAAAAGAAAAAAAACCCTGAGTCTTGTTGTTCTTACTGTTCCAGGTTCATTTAAACACTGAAACTCTTGCTGACTTGGAGGTGATGTCTTTTCTGTGTCTTCAATGTGAATTCCATCAACTCTGGTGGTCTCTTTGCATTTGAGGTGTCTCTTGGTTGGTCTAGGAGGCAGCAATCTGTCTTCATCATGGCAGATAGTGGAAGAGGAGTCCTGGTCAGTTGTAAATGATAAATATTCATGGTTATTCC